TTCCTTTTGATTGTCCTTTTGGTTGCCATTTTATTTTAACTTGTTTAAAAACAATTAAATTTGTACGCATCTTTTATGATCGTCTGTTGTCGTTTTTGTCCACTGTTGTCATCATTCTTTGTTAAAATTCGGGTCTCTCTTGTAAATGAGCCCCCGAGACTCGGTGGGATTAACCTGTTTGAATAAAGGTTGAATGAATGAAAAAAGTAGGACCATGGTGCCATAATTTTATTTTTTTTCTTAATTCTGAGGGGAAAAAAAGTCAGAATTCTAAGATTAAAGTCAGAATTTCAGAAAAAGTCAGAATTCTCAGAACCTTTTTTCCAGACATCTTGTCCAGATGAGATTTTTTTTTATTTAAAGAAAGAAAGAAAAAAAAAAACACTAAACAGCCACTTTTCTCCAGACACACCGACTAGATTTAATGGATAAATCCTTCAACTGGCGTTTGTCCAGATCTTCATGCTGTGTCCAAATACTTCTTTAAAAAGTCTTCAGTTGATCCAAAATGCTGCTGCCAGAGTCTTAACTGGAGTTAGTGGGAGAGCTCATCTCTCTCCAGTTTTAGCTTCTCTCCACTGGCTCCCTGTCAAATCAAGAAATGAATTCAAAATCTTACTTCTAACCTACAAAGTTCTCAACAACCTAGCTCCATATTACAGATCTTATTGTTCCATATTTTCCTAACGGAGCACTTTGCTCTCAGACTGCAGGTTTACTTGTGGTTCCTAAAGTTTCCAAAAGCAGAATGGGAGGCAGATCTTTCAGTTTTCAGGCTCCTCTCTTGTGAAGCCAACTTCCAGTTTCTGTCCGTGAGGCTGACACATTGTCCAGTTTTAAGACTGGGATTAAGACTTTCCTTTTTGATAAATCCTATAGTTAGGGTCAGCTTGGGTTTCCTGAGTTATTCTTTAGTTATGCTGCTATAGGCTTAGTGCTGGAGGGCAAACTGACCACATTTCCTCACTCTGCTGCTGTCTTTACTTGCTCTACTCAACTTGTTTGGATTTGCAATTCTTTCTATTTTTAATGTGTTTTTTGTCTTTCTTCCAATAAAAAGTACATCTGGAGCTGCCATTCTGTGTTCGTCTCTCCTTCCTGTCCTCACAAACTCCAGCTGGTCGAAGCAGATGTCCGCTCGTCCTGAGCCTGGTTCTGCTCGAGGTTTCTTCCTGTTGAAAGGGAGTTTTTTCTTTCCACTGTTGCCACTGTGCTTGCTCAGGATGGGAGACTGTGATGAAGCAAAGATTCAACACAATCTGCTGCTTCCTCTGATAGAGAACTTTTACTAATGGGATGTTTTAATGTACGTGAATGCTTCTGTTCAGTGCCCTGAGACAACTTCTGTTGTGACTTGGCTCTATAATTAAAATGAATTGAATTTTCACCAAGGTTTGACCATGTGAACACAAGGTGCAAGAGTTTGCAAATAATGCTGGTAACTTATTTTTTGGGCTTCCTGAGAGATCTGATCATGGTACAGTCATGGTAACAAGAAATCAAATGTCATTTTAACTCCATCCTACCTAAAATTAGGCAAAGCAGTGTTTTATACCGATATTTAACTAAAACTAAACCAAAATTCTGAGTTAGTGAGTGCAAAACGAGTCCGATCCATTTGCCTGTTGCTATAAACCTGATAGTTCCTCACATTGATGTGGATTAATGACCGCTCCACTTTCTTTGCCTTAAACAAATTCATTCAGGTTGTTTCTGAACTTTCTAAATCAGGTGACTAACAAGTTTCTAGTCATTCTTTTGGGAGGATTCTTCCAGCAGAGGGTGTTCAGCCTTCAGTTTAGTGTGGTGCCGACAGTCTGCAGGACAAAGAAAGGCCCTAAAGAAAGGAGGAGAGGGGGGTTACATCAGTGCACGGTGCCAAACTATCCTGATGCATGCTCAATGTCAGACTGTTCCAGTCTGTTGCCACCTTCAGTGATAAAAGTGCGAGCATGTGAAGAGAGTGAGCTGTTGTTTTTTCTGAACGTTCACTTTGTTTGTCCTCTTGGCCGTTGTTTCGTTTCTGCAGCAACTAACTCTAACCACACAAACACGCTCCTACGGACACAAACAGCCATTCACACGTTTACTTTGCTGAACATTCCTGTCATCTATCCTAATGGAGACTCCAGCACTTAACCCGATCCAGAGCCTAAAACCAGGTCTTAACCTGTTCCATCCGGTGAGACAGACTGACACTGGCTGCTCGCATCGATCCCCTTCCTCTCAGTCTGAGATCTGGTTCCTCTTCATCTTCATCAGGTTAAATCACTTCTGGACACAGATTTTCTGACCTCTGGGAGGCGCTGCTCACCAAAACTATCCGCTCAGGGGCCTCAATGTCATGTTTTGTTGCTGGTGTGTGTCTTTCTGTCTTTTAGCAAAATATCTCATGACTTCCAAATGGGTTTTAATAAAAATTCAGGGAAAAAAAAAAAAAATCAGTGAATGTTTGAATACAACTGAAAAAGAGTTGAAGTCAATCCAATTCAAGATGGCTGCCACAGCTAATCAGTATTAGCAAACACAAAAATGTCTGCAACTCGTCCGGTTTTATAGATACAGAGCTAAAATCTAACGTGGTAGTAGCTGAGAATGAGCCATAACACAAAGAACATGAGCTGTTTTTGACCTCATGATTTATCCTGAATGATGGAGAGCATTGTTTCTGTCTCCTCCAGCAGGCTGAATGACCGTCTTTAAAGGCCCATTTACCTCTTTTTCTTTTTTCCTGCATTATGTTTGTTCACAGTATCTAACAAAGTTAAGTCAGGTCCTCTGGACAGATTCAAAAAAAAAAAAAAAAACTTGTTGAAATGTTTCATCTTTAATCCAAAAGACGTCGTCAATCATTTGGATAATTCGTCATTTTGGATAAAAGACAAAACGCTTCAAGTTTTTTTAATGTTTTGTTTTTTTAATCCGTCCAGAGGACCTGACTTAACTTAATTAGATATTTCTCCCTGGATTACTGAGCATGCATCGGGATATTTATGGAACATGGCTGCAAGGTCAAAACTACTCAGGGGCCGGTTTGTTCAGTGTAAAACAACTTCTAATGAAATTATATTTTGCTACTTTCTGGAATTCCATTCAAGCAAAGCTGCACTGCAAATTTCAATTTGTTGTTTCAGTAAGAAGATCATTTAAATCGAGCTTCAAAGATTCAGGTCATTTAGTGCAGTGGTGTTCAAACTGGGGTCCATGGACCCCCCCGGGGGCCGCGAGCCAGTGCTATGTGTTGTCATCATTGTATGTTTCCATATGGCGATGCACCCATGTGGAGCAGCTTTGTAAGTGCCCAGGGAGCAATTATTAAAGAGACAAATCAAAGAAAACTATTTAATAAACATGAGGGTTATGAGGGGGTCCCTGAAACTTTTGCTTCCCTATAAGAGGTCCCTGAACACCAAAAGTTTGAGAACCCCTGACTTAGTGGACAATCAGTTCATCCAATCTGTCTTGGGTGGTGTTCCTCCATTTTTTTTATTTTCCCTTCAAATCATTTCCTTTGATAAACTGAAAGATATTTTTAATTGTCTATTTTCTTTAACTTGCGTTCCTTTTCGGGATGCTGGGGAGCTGGTACCTGCAGTGGTCCAGACTGGATGCAAGTCCACCACTGGGCCTATAGGTTTCCCTTATAATTTAGGAAGGGATTGTTTTAATGTTTTCACATTAAAACATTAAAACAATAAAACATTTCACACATGTACTGTATGCACCTGACCTGATTAGAACTTAAATTGGTATTTTTATATTCTTTGTTACTTTTTATATCTTTTGTGATTCCTTGTGTAGGTTCCTTTAAATTGAAACTCTGGCACAACATTTTTTTTTTTCATAAACAATTTCCTGCGGGATCAATAAAGTTCTATCTCTTCTCTTTTATTAGTGGTAATTTTCCCCAAATTACACTTTTGTTGTGTATGAGTGTGCAGGTTCAAATCCCATGTCCAGTTCTGAACAATGAAGAAAAAATTACAATAAATGCCCCAAGCTGCTCATGACGCGTTAAAATTTATAGAGATCGGATCTTTTGAAGTGCAGTGTTTTAGACAGGAAGGGAATAATGCAGGGCTATTCAACGGGCGGCCCGTGGGCCATTTCTGGCACGCTGGTGACGTCAATCCGGCCCACTTCATAATTATTATTTTTTAGGGTTCTGTGTTTTGGGTTCCATTTATTGCATTTATGATTCAATGCAATAAAATAAATAAATTTAAAATGTAACAGATCATTGTAAAACTTGGTTTATTTACATAATGTCTTTAATCGCTGGATGTCCGGCCCCTTGAGCAGTTTTGTTGAATAGCCCTGGAATAAAGAGTTAGTGTTTAACCTGTTGTGGATAGCTCTTTGAGCATTTTTTATTTGGAGAAAGAGAGTTTAATTCTGATCAGACTGATGAGCTAAAGGCTAGTCTGAGTAGGGCTCAGATCAAAGTGGGTTACTACTTTTCCCAAACAATGAATCTCATATCAGTTCATGCAAACACACTAGCATTAACTTGTCAATCTGGTCTGGATTAGACTCTTTTGTTTGAGCTACCTGCAACAGGTAAGATATTAACTGCTCGTGAGCTTTAGAATCCCACTTTAAAAGATCTGAGCTATCAAAGACTTCATCTTCAGGAAGAGCTGAGTTCAGGAGTTTGAGTTCAGTTTGACTTTATTAAAATAAGATGCAAAGAATAAACACAGCGGGTAGCAACATGTTGTTTCAATGTTTCATATAGGATCTTAAAAATTAAAAACCGATCAGATAAAAGAAGCAAGTTTAATACTCTGAGGTCTGCTGGAGTCCAAACGCCTTCAACACACCACCGAAAGGCAAAATAAATCAGGTGCCAAAAGTACCTGGAAAACCTGTGGCCTGTGGTTAAAACAAGCCTTGATGCTTTGCTCAAAGTGACACAAAACGTTCATTATTATTATTAATCTAAGTTATTTAACCTTAAATTTCTCTTTAATCAAATACAAATTTACAAAAAGTGAATTTCTCACGGTGTCACAGCTCGGGTTTATTTCGGAGATAACTGACCAATATTTCCTGTTGAAGATGGAAAAGAGTAACATCAGTCATATCGTGATATTTAAGGTGAAAGGTCGTGGGTCTTCCTGTGATCCAATATGTGTGTGTGTGTGTTAGTGTGTGTTAGATTACATGTTTGTGTGTTCATGGGTTTTATATCTGGCGGCGGTTGGTTCTGGATCGTCGCTTGGACGCCCGGTTTCGGACCAAAGTTTTGGGCTGAGGGATTAAAGGGTGTGGTGGGAGGGCGGGGATTTGAACAATGTGGGCGTGGTTTTGCTGAATGTGGGCGGAGTTCTGAACTTTAGCTGAGCGGGAACTGAATTTTTTCTTTCCTCCCTCTTCAGAGTCGGTACTCTCATTTTCTGCAAGAAAAAAGTTTGATGAAAGGAAAAAATTTTCAAACATCAATAAGTGAAAAACGAATCTTTTTGATTTAAACACAACTCCAAATTTAGAATGTGAATGTTTGAGACAAACGAAAGTTGTCCTCCATTATGGGTCCTCTTGTTTTGTTTAACCAACGAACAATAAAGTTTTCTTAAGATCTTAAGCCCATATCTGAATCATCTGTCAAATTTTTTCCTGATTATTTAGCATCTCATCAATTAAATAGTTAAAAAGGGACAAACAGACACTGTGTAAAATATTTAAATCAACAAATCAGATACAGTATGTAAAAGTTGGGTACTGTGAAAAAGTTATGAAACAAAGAATATATTACCTGTTGTAGATAACTGTTTTAAATGATCTCAGTTTAGGGAAATAAAGTTGGACAGATGAGCTAATGGCTAGTCTGATTGGGTCTAAATCAAAGTGCTGCCATCTTATGATTTTGAACTTTAAAACATTCGTAGTGTTTCTTGCAAATGTTTTTTCATAAAAAAATACATAATCAGTTTCACATTAGACCATTATGTACATGAAATTATTTGTTTACTTGCAAGAGGAACCAATAGCAGCATCAGCTGTAGCACTTCCTGTGCAGCCAGGGACACTTCCTGTAGGATTATGAGCTTTTCTACCTAAACAATTGTGTGAAGCAAAACTGAATCAATTTTGCTCATTGGATCAGTAAATTATATTTCTATTCTATTCTATTTTATTTTATTCTGTTCTATTCCAAAAAGGTTTTTAAAATGAAGATTGTCATAATTACTATTACATTTTTGTTGTTGCCTTGTAATTCAGCCAGAATTCAAATTGATAGTTCTAAGCACTATCTACAACAGGTAAGATATTTCTTGTTTATACACCTTCCACAAAATTTCATTAAAAAGAATCTGAAAGCAGAAGCAACCTCTCACCTTCCTCTTCCTCCACACTGGTTGCAGCAGCTACAACCGGCTCTGAAAACAGTCAGGTAATAAATTCAGTCAGTGGATCAAACAGAAACACGTGGATTTAACTGGATATCTTTATCTTTTAAATGAAACGAGACGTATCGTACCAGGTGCTGTCATCTGATTAGTTACTGAAGCTGGAAACAACCAAAGACAAGAATGAGTGTGTAGCTCACTGACTTTCTAGGTGAGAAAATAAAACAATATATAGCTCTCTGTCTGAACTTCTAAACGGATGAATGATTGTTAATTTAAATCTGAAAATGTTCTTACTGTCTGCGACCTCTGAACTGGAGCTGCTGGCGTCTGAAACACATCCGCACAAGAACATTAAACAGCTGTGACACTGATGCAAACAACTGGCTCTCAATATTTATTCGTCTCAGATTTAAAATAGGAGCTTTGGGTCACAGAAAAACAAAGAGACATTTAGTTTTAAATGATGTCCACGCAGAAGTGTAAATCTCGTCGTCCTACCTGATGGTCCTCCTCCGTAAAACTGAGATTCATCTGTAAAATAAAAGCATGTTGACTCGTCAGACACAGTTTAAACACTCAAATGAAGTGCAGTGGTTCCCAGACATTTAGGTTTCCGTCTCACAATATAATAGAGTCGAATGCTTTAACACTGTTATTGGTTTAAATATACGAACTTTGGTAATAAGTCAGTAATAACAAGAGCAGGATGACGATCGTAATAACAACAATAGTGTTTTAAAATGTTAATTTATGACGACTTTTTTGTTTTTATAATAAGTTATACCAAAAGTTTTTTTTATTAAAGCATTCCTGTGTTAATAAAACATTAAAATACTATATATTAATATAATATAATAATATATATAATATAATAATATATTAAAATATAAAATAATAATAACAGTAGTAGTAGTACATTAAAATATTAAAATATTCCTATCAAGAGATTATTTAAAGACCATAATTTGGTATTTTATGACCTACAGTGGTGTCCAAACCCCAACTTCAAGACCACTAATGTAACATATAATAATCATTAATTTAACTTGTTTGTGTCTCGTTTTAATTTATTTTTATATATCTTTCCCTCCATAAATAACATGTATAAGTTTAAACTATACACAGTGAAGTCTTCTATGGTTTTTGAGATTTTTGAAGCTCGGTTTAATTTGATAATTACAGGTTTTTGACTTTATTGCTTCATACATTGGATTTTTTGAAAAAGATTATGGAGTAATTATCCTTTAAAGCTCTTTTTAATATCAGTTTGGTCAAACAAACAGACGAGCGTCAGATCTGAAGTCTTACCAGGCTGATCAGAAGAAACAATGTTCATACTCTCTGAAACAAGAACAGTCAAATATAACAGCTTTTACTCATTAGAGTGAACAACAACAATCATTTTTACAAACAAGTAAACAACTTCATATTTTTCACATATATCTTTAATGTATTCGGTAACCGATTACATTTTTTGGTGACATTTTTGAGTTGTGTAATTTTTGTTTCTGTGGTTTGTGTCTCTGACAGAAACTGTTTATTCAATAATAAGTAATTTTGCAGGTTTTTAAGACACCCCCCCCCCCCCAACAATTACTAATGTTTCAACACCTGCTGAGATAATATTTAAACTTTAACGTTCTCCAATATGCTGATGATAGTAAACTATGTATTTAAGTAATTTGACAACTTGCCTAAAACTAGTATGGGAATTAATGAAAATTCATCAGCTTCCAACATGAACGACAGGTGTAACTGCTCAGGTGTGTGTGTGTGTGTGTGTGTGTGTGTGTGTGTGTGAGTGTGAGTGTGTGTATGTATATGTTGTTTGCAAAATTATATCACAAACCAGCGGACAGATTTTTATGAAGCTTCAGACGTTGAACGTACTTTTACACGTCATTAAGTTTTGAGGTGGAACTGATTCAAGATGGCTGCTACAGCTAATTAACTATAGCACAAACATGGATATAACTCAGTCAGTTTTACAAGTATAGAGCTGTGGTAGTAGCTGAGAGTCATACCCAACACAGATCGTGCACAGATCAGATTTACCGTATTTTTCGGACTATAAGGCGCACCGGATTATAAAGCAGGGGTTCCCAAACTTTTTCTTGCCATGGCCCCACAAACAGTATTAACTTCTGGCTGCCCTAGTGTGTAATTTTTATCAATATCATTACTGTTTTTTATTTTTGCTTTATATAATCTTCTTCTTTCCAGCATTCCGAGGCTGCCCTAGCGCCCCCTGGTGGCCCCCACTTTGAAAAACATTGTTATAAGGTGCATTAAGCGAAACAAAACTGTCAGATAAGTCATACTTTATTCAACTCATTCACAATAACCACATACAATTGTTTCGAGGTCAGTAAGCACAACTAGAATTGATATATGAGGCGCACCTGATTATAAGACTCACTGTCGATTTTTGAGAAAATTAAAAGATTTAAGTGCGCCTTATAGTCCGAAAAATACGGTAGTCCCAAACAGCACGTCAGGTTTTGAACTTTGTAACTTTTTAAATGTTTTTATCACAGACTATATATATATTTCTTCATTACAGGGATGACAAAAAAAAAAATAGGTGAATGGTTTGTTACTCACCTGTTGGAGCGTCATCCGACAATGAGTCTTTATCTGACAAACAGGTGAGACGGCAACAGGTTACACACAGATCATCAGGTTCAGTAAATTGTGTTCGGTTAGTGTGTTTACCTGGCAACATGGCTTGTATTCCTGCATCTGAAAGCATCAAACAGATTTAGATTTAGAAACAACGAGTTTTTATCAAGAATCTAATTTAGACTTTCTCACCGTTAGAGTCTCCTTCCACCGCCAGGACGAACAAAGAGAACAAAAGAACAACATTCCTGCAACACAAACATAACCTTTAGTCAGAAAACTGCTGCAAACTCATTTATTTATTCTTATTACTGTGGGGAGGTGTGTGGGCATTAAACTGACTGCGCTCATCAGAAACATTTGTCCAAACTAACAGGCAGGTCAGAACAATTATATTTTTAAATGAACAAGAGAAATGATGCTAATCTAACAGAATGGCATGCATTTTTATGCGTAACAATGGTTTTAACTATTTGTTTTAACGTGGATTAGCTGCATAACAAAGATTTAAATTTCATGTAAATTTTCAAAAGTGCATTTTGTATTTAGATTATTTTAGTGCACGCCATATTATTTAAACATGGATGTAGCCTAGCTTCGTGAATCTGCTGTTGAGAGAAAAATGTGGCATGAAAATGAGGAATTTGACAGAAAATGGGAGCTAAACTACACTAAAGCTCGGAGTAAAGACATTAACATGATGTTTTTATACAGACTTCTGTTTTCTGTTGTTCTGCTGATGCTTCCAATGTGTCTCTTGTGTTTGGAGCTCTGCATGCTACTGGTTTTTTAAACCACTGGCCATGAAATAAAGACAGAAAGGCTCGTAAAGGAGAGGATGGTCGTACCTGATGAGCATGATGCTTTGAGGTCAGACGGGTCCCTGATGGGTGCAGCAGGTAGGCGCACGGCTGAAAGCTCAGGTAAGCAGACAGGAAACAGTTACAGTACTTCAGGATTGCACTGCAGCAATCTTCTGTTCCTGAGTGCCAGGCAGTGGTTTATATATCTGCCTAAATGTCACCTGGACAGAGGACGGACCGAAGTGTGTGTTCATTAACGTGTATTTGTTCGTGTGTGTGTCAGAGTTTCAAATTTCTTTGTTAATGCTCGACAGTAGGAGGTGAAGAAGACTCACACTGAGGTTCCTCGGTGTCTGAGGAGTATTAATGCGGAAGCTGGATCAAGTAAACTGAATATTTTTAAAAAATCACGATATACAGTAAACCTAAGGACAGGGTTGTGATCTCATTATTTTAAATGAGTTTTTTTTTTTCTCCCAAAACATGATTAAAGATTAAATTTTTAAGTGAAAAGTGATTTGTCTTGTCCTGTTAATGTCACAACCTGGACAAAAAAATGACAAATATTCACAGGATGAAATTTTTCTATATTTAATAGCTTATTTTAGTAATTATAAAATAACATGGACTGTTTCATCTCGGAGTAAAAGTGGTCCTCACAAGGACAGAGAATCAACACACACGTCCCCAGTCTCTTTGGAATTTCCTGGCGTCCTCACAGTTTAGGGAATCCCCGTCAAACAAACACTCAGTGTGGACGTCTGCAGGTAGAGTTTCCTCAAGTCAGATCCCCTGATAGAACCTGGAGAACAATCAGAGCAGAACAACAATGCTTCACCTGGAACCAGATCCACTATAGACCCAAAGACCCATAGTCCAGTTCAGGTCTGACCCGCAGTGAGTAGGCAGTACGTAGAGAGCAATGAGTTTCAAAAAGAAAACACGAGATGTCTTAGCTAATTTTTCATCAGAAAGTGAAAATAAAAAGCCAAGGTATTTACTTTAAGTTGAATAAATACTGACGCAGATGTGTCCTTTGGAAAAAATAAACTAAAATATGAAATCAGTATCTGTTCAAAAAGAATAAACATATAGTTTACCAACACCAGTAGCTGAATATCTCACGAACCACAGAATGAAACTCTCATAAAGTAACTACGTCTACGTCTTCAACTGATTCACTTTTGAAATCAACCCACTTCAAGATGGCCGCCACAGTTAGACTACAGAAGATGGGCACAAAGGACTGTGGTAGTAGCTGAGAGCAGTCACTAACAGATTGTGTAAAATCTTGCAAGATGGAGGGCAGTATGCTGGTCCTTTAATAAATGCTCTGCATTTTTAATTTACAAAGCGATCTAAAGATACGCAACAATACATGTCGGAATAAAACATTTTTTACAGATGATACGATGGTGTGTATAATAGATAAAGGTATGCATAGGTTTTGTTCGGGATGGTTTTCGCCCACAGATCAAACAACCTGCATGTAAGACTGACTGATAACTCTAAATTGTCCCTAGGTGTTAAGGAGAGTGTTCATGGCTGATTGTCCCATTTGTCCCTATGTGTCCCTGTGGTGGACTTTGTGATCTGCCCAGGCTGTACCCCAACTCTCGCATAGTGACTGTTGGACATGAGCACCAGCGACAACCATGACCCAGAAAGGAAGAAGCAGGTGGATGGATGGATGGATGGATGGATGGATGGATGGATGGATGGATGGATAGATGGATGGATATAGATGAAGGGTGGGCATCAGTTTTATACAGTGGGACACCAAAGACTACAATTGATCAAACTGATCCATCCATCCATCCATCTATAAAACTGATGCCCACCCTTCATCTATATCCATCCATCTAATTTGTCCTCTGGTTGGTGGATTATTAGTTATTGATGCATAAATATTCAAACATTGACCTTTTTATAATGTTCGGGCTGTTGTATACCATATTATTTTACACTATTAATGTTTAGCATATATCTTAGATCCTTATATTCGGTTTCTTTTTATACTTTATGTTCTGCTGTTTTTGGGTGTAACTTGGACCCTGAGTACATAATTTCCTTCCACCTTATGTACCACATGTGATGCGAATGACAATAAAGACACTTGAACTTTTAGTGTAACTAATGTGCATGTGTACAATCGAATGCCTTAAAAAGGTTCATAGCTATTTTCTGTAAGGTTCAGCGTTCAACACAAGTGTTTTGGTCCTTTATTGACTTTTATTTACAAACGTATTTATAAATTAGCTGTATTAGTATTTTACGTTATGATAATGTGCAGTGCTGCTGGGTGTCAGGTCGACTGCAGAGCACACCTGAAACAGGTAGACATGAACACTGTTTAGACTGAGTGTGGATCCACACCAACTGTAGATAAAAGTGAAAGTAAAGATGAAAAATAAATCAAACTTAAGAATAATTTATAACGATTTTTAGTTGTATCAGTTGTCAGTGATGGTAACAAATATACCGGTTTAGAAAAGACACGAAATCTGATTAGATGTTAAAGAACAGGAAGTAGGCATGAACGTTTCTAGACCACAATGCATTGCAAAATACTAACTTTGAGTGTTTACATTAGTAACTTAAAAAAGGTGAATTTATAGTTTCAATGTATTAATACAGCTAAATATCTTTAGCTGAAGTTTATACATTTTAAAAAGTTAATTTCAATTCAGTTCAGTTTATTTATAAAGCACCAAGTCACAAAAGAAGTCGTCTCAGGGCACTGAACAGAAACATTCATATATAAAAATAATAAGTTATCATTATTGATCTGAGGAGCAGACTGCTTTGAGTTTAACGCCATCGCAGACTCTCATCTTGAGCAAGCTTGAAGACGACAGTGGAAAGGAAAAACTCCCTCACGAGGAAGAAACCTTTAGCAGAACCAGGCTCAGGACAAGTGGCCATCTGCTTCGACCGGCTGGGTTTGAGAGGAACAGATACACAATGGCAGGATGAGACTCACATGCTAAGATAGAAATAGTATCAAATGAAAACTATTTAATTTTAACAACTCATTTAAGGAAATGAGGTCAATTTGTCCTCCATTAGTCTAAACCTATAGCAGCATGACAAGCCAACCATAACTATAGGATTTATCAAAAAGGAAAGTAATCCCAGTCTTAAAACTGGACAATGTGTCAGCCTCACGGACAGAAACTGGAAATTGGTTCCACAAGAGAGGAGCCTGATAACTGGAAGACCTTCCTCCCATTCTGCTTCTGGAAACTCAATGAACCACAAGTAAACCTGCAGTCTGAGCGCGAAGTGTTCTGTTAGGAAAATATGGAACAATAGGATCTCAAATATAAGATGGAGCTAGGTTGTTGAGGGCTTTGTGGGTTAGAAGTAAGATTTTGAATTCAATTCTGGATTTGACAGGGAGCAATAGATCATATTTTTAATATAATACAATATAGTTATTATTTAATATAATATAGTTCATAGGGATCATACTTCAGTTGAAACCTCCAAATTCCTGTTTATACATTTACATAAAAACAAATGAAGGGCTGTGATATAGATGAATAAGTGGATTTTACGGTAAAGAATGTGCTAGAGTTGATGGCTCGTGACATTAGCACTCAAGAACCAGAATTTGTTCTATTCAAACCATTGACATGGGATGAAACTATTTATTAAACTTTGTGCCATTTTGTCAAAAACATCCTTTAAAGTCCCACAAAGTGTTTGCCATGCAGGCAGTTCTGAGGCTGTTCCTCGTCAAAGCTGCTGATGTGATCACCAGAACTGTATCTCTGATATCAGAAACCTGCTGCCAGCGTCTGAGGATTTTCATTGCTTTCTTGAGAGCATTTCACATTCTTAACTTATAAAACAAACTGTTAATTAAAAGCAATTGAGTATATTAAAAAAAAACACTGCTATGTTTAGTGAGAAAGTAAAAAAGTTGGTAACACAAGCGTATATGTTCGGGTGTGCAGGCGTAATGAAAAAACAGGTAAAATGGATTCTGCCCCTGGAGATTCCCACCTTCCATTCCAAAAACACACATAGTGATAATGGTAGAGAAAGGGGGTTTACAGAGGGCAGTGTGTGGGTAAAAGGTTTTTTTCTTGCAGGGGTCGTGTGGTATTTGTGTATCAAAGCCTCTTCTGTCTGAAAACGTCTTTCTGTGTAAACGGAGAGTTGACTGAACAGCAGAGGAAGCTTTTTAAAGCAGCACAGCTTCATTCAGCCAACGCAGCAGCTTTGAAACACTGTAAGGTCAGATTTACATGTTTATAGAGCTTCCATCCATTAATCAGTCCATCCATTCATCTCTCGATGCTCTGTCTGTCTGGGGACGTCCCACAGGAGGACACATGGTCCTCAACAGAGGATGACTGTACGAAACATTTAGGTCTGAAAACTAGGTTTTATCTAAAATAGTCACTGTGACGAGAGCTGGAAAAAATGCTAAGTCTTGTTTAAACTGAGGCTGACAAATGTTAGTGCATACAAATTTAATTGTACTTTGTTCCTCGCACTCTTCTTCTTCTTTCAGCTTTTCCCTCTTCAGGGGTCACCACAGCAAGTCATCGTTCGTCGCACTCTGGAGTTTCCATTTCAATTCAATTCAGTTTATTTATATAGCGCCAAGTCACAACAGAAGTCGTCTCAGTGCACTGAACAGAAATATTAATATTTAAAAGTAATAATTTAACACTATTTATCTGAGGAGCAGACTGCTTTGAGTTTAACTTCATCACAGAACTCTCATCTTGAGATGAAGGCAACAGTGGAAAGGAAAAACTCCCACATGAGGAAGAAACCTTTAGCAGAACCAGACTCAGGACAAGCGGTCATCTGCTTCGACCGGCTGGGACTGGTAGGAACAGATACACAATGGCAGGTCAAGAATCACATGCTCAGATAGAAATAGTATCAAATGAAAACTATTCAATTTTAACAATTCATTTAAGGAAATGAGGTCAATTTGTCCTCCATTAGTTTAAGCCTATAGCAGCATTAAGCCAACCCTAACTATAGTCAAGGAAGACGTCAGCAGCAAATTTGGACCCGATCACGCTGCTTG